TCTGTCGAGCGGCTCGCAGGGCAGAGCTTCCTGGGACCGCAGAGCCCCGGAAGGAACCAATGCGCTCGGACCAACAAAAAGTAAAGCCAGACCTCAGCCTGCTCCACAAATCGACCAAGTGCGACATCCTTCCAATCGCGCAGCCCCCTCCCTAAGCCATCGGCAGGCGAGCGCCAGTTGTCGCCAACGCTTACTCAGGCCAGAGACCTTCCCTTTCGATGAGGGCGGGGGGGCCCGCTAACCCAGCGGCGGCGACAGGGGGGACTCCGCGAACACCCGGGATAAAAGCGACATCGACCCCAGGTGCTTCCTGAGGCACTGCGCAAGCAAGAAGAACAACTGCATCCCGTCAAAGAATAGGCGGTGGCGGGCCCTCCGATGCCCGACGCAGGGCGTAGCCGATGGCAAACGTGACGCCTTCCACACCATCCGCGGGGCCCGCCCAGATCGTCTGCCAGCCTTCGCGATGCGCATGGAGGATCCTGGAAGAGCGAGCCATGGCCTGCGCCCCGAACGAAAATTCGGGGGAAGGTGGTGGGGTGGCGGGAGTCGAGCAAACATGAACATGAGCCAGACCAGGCTTGGCCCCACACTCCTCCTCGACCCGCGCGTCGCAGCCGTTCCTCTCCAAGGCGAATGCCTTGCGCGTGGCCCGACCGCGCAGTCTGCGTGCTCCTTGGCGCAGCCCGGGCAGAGTGCTCAGTTGGCATCCGCTGGTGCCGGCTGAGCAGCGCTAGGACCTCTTGACCCTCCGCCTCGCGCGCCCCCAAATGGGAGGCTACGGGGCCCAGCGCCTCCACAGCGCGAGGCTGCGAATGTTCCCCCGGCGCGCCAAACGCTGGCCGGAATTTGCCCCGCGATCTCTCATGGCAGAGCGAGCACCTGAACAGCACCGCAGCGCACGCCCGCCCCGCCGCCCAGTCTGATCCTCCACGTGCGGCGCGGCGCAGAGACGATCTAGCGGCGGTCCGAGGTGGCGCTAAAACCCCGGGGCCCCGAGCGAGAACTGAGCCAACTCCTCCTGGAACCGGACATGCAGAAAGCAGGCGCCCGTCGAGCTTGGTGGCCCACTGCCCAAAGCTACGATTGACCTTCGCACCGGCTTCAACTCTGCCCCCGTGCACAAAGTGCCTCGCGTGCGGAACAGAAGCAGGGATTGCGCTACTGGCGCCCAACCGCTGCCCGTCCGAAAACGAGGCTGACCTGAATCCACCACCTCCCCCCTGACAGCCTCGGAGGGAGGAGTCGCCATATCGGACTCTTCATGGGGGCCCGCGCTGGGCCTAGCCCTGCGTTTCAGCCCCGCCGCTTCCTTGCGCTGGAACGCGGGCCTGCTTTCCCAGCTGGCCAAACTACCGCGGGGAGATGGCTTGGTACTCTGAAGTTCCGGCGCCAAAGGTCATCTTCTCCACGCTGAAATACTTGCCTCGGACCGACGGGTATCCCGCTAGACCACTAGCTCGGACTCTAGCTAAACTAGCTGGGCAAGGCCGACGGACATGATCGCGCGGCCCACAGGCGACCCCGCCCCCTGTCGCACGCAGCCCGATTGCTCGGCACAACAGTATAAGCACCCTTGGCAGCATGCTTCAAAGTCCACCGGATCACCAACGGGCCCGCGAAGCTCCCGACACTGGTAGCCAGTGGCCCCATGACCTCCTCGCCCCCCCCCCCCTCGCGCCCCTCTCGCAGGGAGGAGGTGGGCCATCAAAATATGTTGGCTTTGAAAATGGCAGACTACTCGGGGGGTGTCCAAGAGGAGCGGCCAAAAGGGGGGTGTCCAAGAGGGGCGGGTGCAAATCATGACCGGCGGCATGTGCGCGGCCCAGCGGGGGGCCAGGGACGCAATGAAATAAGAAGAGGCGCCATAACATCCGGGGAAATATCATGGCCCCCGCCATGATACCCCCCCCCTAGTCATCATCCCACTCTGTTCCGCCCCCGAACTACGGCGGCGAACCCGAACGTGGGATCCATGAAGCCGGGCCTCCTCTGCGGCAGAGACGCGACTGCGCGCGAGAATCGCTCTGCCCACAAAGGGGGCCGCCCTCCGACCCCCACGGCTGCCGGGCAGGCCGCGGCAACCGCCCCCCATTGGGCACCTGCGCGCGGCGCCGATCACCTCCTGCCCCGTGGCGCGCGAGGGGCTAGTTGGTCTCGAAAACAACAGCAATGCTGCGCCCCCCTCTGTTCCGCCCCCGAACTACGGCGGCGAACCCGAACGTGGGATCCACGAAGCCGGGCCTCCTCTGCGGACGCGCAGCGAGGATGCGGCAGAGACGCTCCGCCCACAAAGGGGGCCGCTCTCCGACCTCCACGGCGGCCGGGCAGGCCACGGCAGCCGCCCCCCATTGGGCACCTGCGCGCGGCGCCGATCGCCTCCTGCCCCGTGGCGCGCGACGGGTTAGTTCGTCTCGAAAGCAACAGCAATGCTGCGCCACTCTTGATTGCGATGCACCTCTGGGCCCCTGGCCCTATGGCGGTGGCGCTCGCGCGAAGGATTGCCGACGCTGCTGCCGAAGCACCCCCCCCCCGCCGCCCCCCCCCACGCCGCGCACACACCACACACGCACACGCACGCACGCACCCACGCACGCACACGCACAAACACACATACACACACACACACACACACACACACGCACACACACACACACACGCACACACTCGCGCGTGCCCCCCCCCCCCAAAAAAAAAACACACACACACACACACACACACACACACACGCACACACACACACACGCACACACACACACATACACACGCAGACGCACGCACGCACGCACACACGCACTCACGCACACACGCACACACACACACACACCTCACCTCCACTGACTTTAGACTGGCAGCTCTAGGACATGTTCGCAGGAAGCCGAGGCGAGATCCACGCGGCAATGGAAATACCAGTACAATCCAGTCTGTGATCCAGCCTCCCAGCGATCCATCCGCCAGCGATCCATCAGGAAGCGCCTGGGACATCCACCCAGCGATCGATCCACTCATCTGTCAGCGCGAGCGCCGCCAGAGAGATGAGCAGCGCCAGGGGGCGGATTCCAATGCCAAGAGGCCCCCGCGAGCGACGCGCCCCCCCATCGGGAGTGGCACGGGCACTAGGCGCGCCAGCCACGTCTCCCACCAGGCCGTCAGCACGAAGGCCTCCGGCCACGTGGGCACGGGCAGCGCCCTGGCAAACTCCCGGACGCGAGTCGCCGTCAGCACAACCGCCGCCAGCTGCTTGAAGCACGACTGCCTCCCAGTTGAACACGCGCAAAGTGCTGGGCAGAGTCTCATCGAAACTTTTCGCCAACAGCTCAAAGGGGTCGAGCTCGCCATCCGCGGCGGCGCCCAGCGCGACCGCTGCGGGCCCCGCGCCGAAGGTTCGGAAGCTGTCCCCCCCCGTTGCGAGGATGGGAGAAGCCTGGATGGTGCGCGATGACATCTGGCATCGCCTGCACGCTGAGACGAGCGGCCAGCGGGGAAGACGGGGGCCCCGCGAGCAGCCTCCACAGCGTCGCTGCTCCAGACTGGAATGGGGTCGCAGTCGGCGCCTTAGCCAGAGGACGGGCGCCTCCCCCGCGAGAAGCAGCAATGCTTCCACTTCCGCTCCCGACTCGGATCCTCACGCCGCAAGGGCCCGACGCATTCGCGGCGCCAGCGGCGCTCGCTGCGCGACGCCGCGTGCAAATGCCCCGATCCAATTCGGAATCCACCATTGACATACCTCCATCCAACACTTGACTGCCCACCCCGCGGAACGCGTACGCACTTGGCCCCACTGCCGCGGAGGCCGACGACAACTGCTCGACCTGAGCGACGACCCCGCGATTGCATGCGGGACTGACTACAAGTCCTTCAGTGCCTCGCGGGACAGCCGAGTGCGGATCACGCGGCTGGCCTCCGCTCTGCTCCCTGGGCCCAGCACGCGGCGACTTCGCATGTCCACCCAACTGATCACAGGAGCTCCTGGTCGGGCCTTACGGGCAGGCCCACTCGCCCTGGCTGAAGGCCGAACGGCCCCCCCGTGGACCATTTCATCTCCGCAGGGGATCTTGTGTTGCTGCCTCCGTTGCCGTCCATCTTGGGCAACGCATTGGCTCTTGCTTGGTCGCTGGCCGCCGCCCCCTGGCCTGCTGAAGCGTCATCTGTTGATAACGATCGGCGCCGCCGCCCCCTTCCGCCGAAGGAGCTGCGCGTGCTGAACTTGACAAGCCAACTGTTGCCGATGACGCTGGCGCGGCCAGCCTCGCCCGCTTCTTCAAGTATGTTTCTCAGCCAGCCTATCCGGCATCTTTTGCAACTTGGCCCACAAAACCGCACGCGGTGGAACGATTGTTCAATATGACTCCTTCTATCTGCACCCAAGTTCTTCCGAGTTGGTTTGCTGGACCACCACGTCTTCGGGGACAGTGAGCGCATCGACCGCGTAGATGATTCACGTGCCGCACGCTACTGAAAACATGGAGCCGTGATCCAGCCTGGAGTACGCCTCAGCCTTCGCGGCGGGTTGTCGCTGCTGTGGCACGTGAAGTTTGGCAACCAACGCAACACGCATCTATGTGTAATCATCCAACGCAAAGTTGGGCTGGACAAGCCATTTTCGCGGCTCTGACGTACTTTGCTCCAGACGGTCCATCCTACCCGACGTGTTCAGCAGTTTCTCATACATCGCCGTTCCTTTCCCACGAGACACCGGCGAGCTGGAGCTCCAACGGCCGGGGCGCAGGATGTGCTGACACATTGGCCACTTGAGCTGAAAGATCCCTGCGCCACTTCTCTAACTCATTACCACCCCACTCTGGCAGCAGAAACCAGCATTGCAGGGGTGAAAGGGAGGGTCGGGCGCAGGGCCCCGGCAATGGTGTCTGTATGGGCCATGCATGCGCGATGCATCCTCGATTGATGTGTTCGGCGGGGGAACCACTTGAAGCCCCCCGCCTGCACCCACGCGCGAGACTTGAAAGTGAACGAAACAAGGAGGCGGGGGGCTCGGGAAAGGCGACGAAAGCAACGTGCGTTGAGGGCGCAACGAGAAAAAGGTTTGAATAAACGTGTCAAAACCTGCCCAGCCAATCTGACATGTGGAACACTGCGCCTCAGTTATGGGGGTCTGGAGGACCAGGGCAAAATGTGAATTCACATTGTGGGGAAAAGCAACATGTGAATTCACATTTTGGGACAAAGGAAATGTTGATTCACATTTTGGAAAAAAGGAACATGTGAATTCACATTTTGGAATTTGGCATAGGAATATGTGTGAAGGGGGCCAGAACGTGAATTCACACTTTGGGAAACAGAACATGTAAATTCACATTCTGGAAAAAAAGAAAAACGTGAAGTCACATGATGGGAGAACCGCGGGCCCCATTCCAAATCTGCCTTGGGGGTCGACAAATCATCGTTTGGGAACGCACGCGATCATCAATCGCACAATCAGGACACACTTGCACTCCACGTCGCCGCCCCATGCGCGATATGCAAGAACGCCCGCACGCATGAACGATGATGGATGGACGGCGCGTTTGCCCGCGCGGGCAACGCGCTTGCACGAGCGACTGGCCCACCACGACCGCCAACATTGAATGCCAATCATACCCGATCACATACATGAGCGATACATTGAGCTTACATGGGCCATTCAGCCCCCATTGAAGACCCCCTGTTGCAGACCCCCTCTTTCACCCTCCAAAGCATGTGATTGATTTCCTATGCTCCCTGCTTGGTCTGACAGGTACCTGAGCAAGGGCTGTCACCGTGAAGTGCAAGAGAAGAACCACCAATACTAATCGCCAAACCTTTGCGACTACCCCGGTTTCCCGAAGGAGGCCTGGGTTCCTTACCGTTCGGCTGCTCACTGCGGGCTGCAGACCAGCGCTTGCACCAACTCCACGTACCATCTGTTTGCGGATCCACACGAAGCTGCAATGGATCCAACCTCCATCCTGTTATGACATGCCGCTGCAAGGACAGGAAGGTAAAAGATCGGGTTACCCGCGGGCGCGGGAGGCAAGCGAGGGCTGGGGGGCGGACCAGCCTTCGCAAAAAGGAGGAGTCGTAACCTGCCGCGGCTCGGCGGTATCCGTGCGGTTCACATAGAGACCTTGCGTCTTGAGTCAAAGGGGTGGCACCATCACTGGGGATTCGCATGCCAGCTGCGCAAGCACCAGGAGGAGCAGGAGAAGGCGGAGGCGGATCGCCGAGCGTGTCCAAGAGCGACGGCGGGCTCGGTGACTGGTTCAGGAAGACCATGCCAGCGAATACCTCGACGCAAGGCAGGGGCCCGATCCCCAGATCCTCCTTCTCCTCCTCTTCGCCCTCCTCCTCCTCCTCCTCCTTCCCCTCCTCCTGATGATCGTCATCCCCTTCCCCATCCTCTTCCTACCCCTCTTCCTCCATTCTTCTTCCTCACAAGCAACTCCTGCCTGTCGCACCCCGAGGCCAATCGGAAGGGCTGTCCGGACGTTTCGTCTGAGACTTCCCTACCACTTGTGATCTTGAAGCTCCAAAATTGGCAACAGCTACGCAGATGGAGGGCGGGTGGTTTGCACTATGTGGCTCTCGCATTAGCGCCGCGCACACTCGCTTTAACATGTTGCAAGAGCTTCACATATTGACGGCGGCTCGCTTTCAAAAATTTGGCTCTCGCCGTAGCGCCGCGCACACTCGTCTTGAAGCATGGAAGTGTTTCACGGATTGAGGGCGGGTCGTTTTCAAAATATGGCTCTCGCCTTGGTTCCGTGCACACTCGTCTTACACATTGCAAGAAGTTCAAAATGTGGCTCTCGCCGTAGCGCCCCGCCCATTCGTCTTAAATATTTGCAGCACGTGCGCGGATTTCTACTGTTAGCGTACCAGCAATGGTGTTTGGGGATGATTCAGGGCTGTCAGGGCGCAAATGCTACATTGACTCGCGGTGTTGAAGTCCCAAGATTGGTGTCCTGGCACGATTCGGGATCGTCAAGATGCAACAGTCACGTAAATGCGCGGCGTTGAAGACCCGAGGATTGTGTGCTGGCGAGCTTCAACACCTTCAAACGGTTGTCTCCCAACGGGGCACTTCCCTCAGGGGGGAATACATCCATACTGGGGCCTATGAAGGGCAAGCTTGGACGGAGGGATTCTTCCAACATCGGTGTGTTTACACTGGTCCGCCTGCTCTTCCTTCACCTCCCCCTCCACCCCATGCTCCTCCTCAACATGAATATCACCACCAACATCACCGACACGACCACCAGAACCACCAAAACCACCACCCCAATCACCATCATCATTGTCATTAGCATCCTCATCCGACTCATCGACAAAAACATGACCGCCATCACCATCTCATCATAGTCGTCGTCCGAATCATCACCATAATCATCTTCATCATCAGCATCATCATCACCAGCATTACCACCACAAGTATCTAAGCATGAGCACCACAATCCTTATCGTCATCATCAAGACGACTCATGATCATCATCATCATCAACAACAGCATGATGAGCATCATAATCTCCATGTGCATCATGCTCAATATCATCATAATTATCCCCATCATTATCATCATCATTCGTACCATAATCATCAACACCATCATCATGATCATCGTCATCATCGTCATCGTCATCCTCACCGTTATCGTCATCATAATCGTCACAGCAACCATCATGAGCACCCTCATCATCAACAGCACCAGCATCATTGTTATCATCATCAGCAGCAGCATCATCAGCAGCAGCGTCATCAGCATCAGCATCACCATCCTCATCGTCCTCCAACTCCTCCTGCTCCTGCTGCGCATCGTCCTCCTCCTCCGCCTCCTTGTCAGCATCATCTTCATCATCATCAGCATCATCATCATAATCAGCATCATCTTCATCATCAGCATCATCATCATCAACAGCATCACCATCATCAACATCATCATCATCATCAGCATCAGCATCATCATAACCATCATCATAATAATCACCCTTCACCTCGCCCGTCCCTTGAAGACCTCGACGCCAGGCAGGGGCAGGAGCCCCAGGTTCTCCTTGCGCTCCTTCGGGGTGTGCGCGGGCGGCGTGGCCTTGAGGGAGCCGTCCAGGCGATACGCCCACCTGGGGCCCCAAGAAATCGTCCTGATACGGAGGGCCGCCGCCCCTGGGCCTGAAGAGATAGCGCGGCGAGATCTGCACGCATCAACTAGGAGGCCTTCTAGATGGGGACGGAGGAGATGGAATCGGAGGATCGCGCCGCATCGCCGAAGCATCTGCGATGCATCGCCGATGCATCGGCGATGCACCGGCGATGCACCGGCGATGCATCGGCGATGCACCGGCGATGCACCGGCGATGCACCGGCGATGCATCGGCGACGTCGGCGATGCAGCGGCGACGTTCGGCGTGAAGCAAATCGGGCCCCACATCGAGCCGCATCGCCGATGCGTCGGCAATGCGGCGCGATCCTCGGACCACACCGACTCCGACCCCATCCAGAAGGCCTAGACCAACTGCCCTTGACCAGGCCCATCCTGGGCCTGGCCAGGGAGAAGTGAATAGGCCTGGCCAGGGAGCCATGTCCACCGCTCCTGGGCCCAGGATGGGCCTGGCCTCGGGCGGTCGATACATGTATAGATCTCGTCGCCCGGATAGAGCCCCAAGTGCGCCGACCGGGGAACAAGCAGGGACACAAACATAAACTTTCGGAGCTCCGCGCGGATTTGTCAGATCGGCGCTGGGGGGACCCTGGCGGCGACTCCGGCGCCGCCCCTGGCGCGCTCCGAGCGCCAGGGAGGGGGTCCAGCGCCGGTCCAAAGAAAGTAGCGCAAACCTCCAGCAGAGAATGATTCCCAATCAGACCTTGCCTCTGTAGGGGTCCTAGCGGATTCATGTGGTTAGGTCAGGTTTGCCACCGATTTCGGCGGATCGCCCGGGTGCCCGGGTGCTTTACAGCCTTACAGCCCTTTAGGGCTATGGGGCTATAGGGCTATAGGACCATAGGGCTATCTGGCTATTGGGCTATAGGGCTAGAGGGCTGTAGTGCTATAGGCATATATATATATATATATATAGAGCTATAGGGCTATATGGCTGTAGGGCTATAATGCTATAGGGCCACAGGGCTATAGCGCTATAGGGCTATAGGTATATTGGGCCATGCGTCGATAATGCTATAGGGCTATAGGGCTATAGGGCTATAGACTTATAGCCCCATGGACCTATAGCCCTATGGCCCGATCCCAAAAGCCCCATAGCCCTATGGCCCTATAGCCCTACAGCCCTATAGCCCTACGGCCCCATTGCCATATAAACCTATAGCCCTGGAGACCTATAGCCCTATGGCCCTACAGCCCTATAGCCCCATAGCCCTATAGCCATACAACAATTCTGATTGGGGTTCTTCTCTAGTATCATGTATGTCATGCTCTGTTCCTCTATGAAGAGAGCACTCCCCTTCCACCGAAATCCACAGGCTGCAGGACGCTCCCTGGGGTGTCAGGAGGCAGCCCCTGGGAGGTCTATGTGGGAACGATGAAGACCTATGTAACTCGATCTAGCCTAACTCGAAACAGTCCCGAGTCGAACCCAAACTTGATGGAAAATAAACGACATCAAGCGGGCTCCTGTCGGTTCTCGACCCGGGAAAGCCCCGCGCAGAAGCTGAGTTCAACCTCCCAGGAGTTGCAGCCTGCAAGGCAAGCAAGTTTGCTTGGCGGCCCGGTGACCAGTGGTAGGGGCACACGAGCTGCTTGCAATTCTTCTGGCTCGAGCTGCAGACGCGGGCGCCTCGGTGCCGACACGTGTTGTAGAATGCGTGGATCTTGCGCTGCTTGTCGCATGTGAGAATGATGGAGGTGTCGCCGAACTCCACGAGCTTCACGTCGCCCGGACTCGCCAGCTCCGCGACGTGGGCCGCAGCGAACCACTGCGTGCCGAAGATCCGCTCGCGCTCCGCGTGGGCGTAGGACTCGTCGGTGTAGAACGCCGGGTGGAGGCACTTGGCCTGCTCGATCGGCCCCGCCGTGTGCAGGGCGAGCTCCTGGATGGCCCGCGGAACCTATGATAGGTTGGGGGCAGGAGGAGGAGGAGGAGGAGGAGGACGAGGAGGAGGAAGACGAGGAGGAGGCGGAAGAAGAGGAGGAGGAAGAGAAGAAGGAGGAAAACGTGGGTGGCTGGGACCCAGCACTCGCGTCCGTGGGGCACGCCTTGGAGGCGCGCCTCGCCTGGGCTCGTGCTCATCCTCGCACCCCCGCGTTCGGCACCCGCCACGTCAGGGCTCCCGGGCTGGTCTGCTACGGTCGGTGGCTCTTGCCTGGCGTGTCGCGGCCGGGGGCCCTGGCGACACGGTATGCCCAGTAGGGTGGTAGCGCGTCGATCGGCTCCGCGGGGACGGAGGCTGGGGAAGGCTCGAGTCGTGGACTCTCGGAGACCCCGGCGTGGTTAGTGTGTCGCGCCGCAGCGTGTGGGGCCAGAGCTGGCGGCGCGACAATGGCAAGGGCGAGTTCCCGACTATCTCTCGGTCTCCCCAAGAAGAGCTCCGATCCAGCGAGAAGATTACTCCAGATTTCATAAGAAAGGGAGGGGGGTCTCATTTCGGGGGGGGTCTCTTCCAGGCTATCTTGGAGGGCCTGGGGGGTCTGGGGACGATGTTTTGGAGGGTTCTCCCACGGGGGAGGTCTGAAATGGCTTGTCTTGGAGGGTCCAGACCCCCTCCCTTTTATTACGACATCTGGAGTACCCAGGGGGGATCCCAGTCGAGGGCAGGGTGATCATCAGCTCACATGTAGACGTCCGCCGCCAAAATCTCCGCCGAGCCTATCCCAAGCAGCGGCTCGGCGTGCTCCGGGAGAGAAGGCCCTCCGCTGCCCCTTCCGTCCAGCACGGGGCCCTGAGAACGCTCAGAGCACACCCCGGGCACTAGTGAACCAGCCCGCTGCTTCGAGCCGCGGCCGGCCGCGGCGTCGAGCCCCCCTCACACGAGCATCAACTTTTTTTGCCTGGCGGCTCGAGGCAAAAGCTTGCTTGCTGCTCGAGGCTCGTGGCACACTGCCCTTCGCCCTCGGGGCCCGAGCGATCCCCGCCCGAGCACGCGAAGGCGAGGTCCCCGGGGAGCACCGGCCCACGCTGGGCCTGGCGGGCGGCCACGGCGTGCAGGGTGCGCGAGGCGGGTCGGGGGCCTCCTTTCCAACTGACGCGCACCGCACAGGGCTGGACCTATATAAACCTTGTTTTTCGTGCTGTTCTCGTTTCGCTGTTCGTCTTGCCCTGCCTGCTTTCCTGTACCTCCCTGCCAAAAACGACAGACAAAACACAGCCGGAGTCCAGCCAAGCAGCGTGTGGGTCCAGCCCTGGAGTAGCAGCCCCAATCTGTCGTGACCGCAGAGCCGCAGAGCGAGGGCAGCACGGAACGCCGGGGCCACGCGGGGGCAGAAAACAGGGGAACGAAAAATGGCATCAACATAACACCTCGAAGGTCAGCGCGAACTTCTGGGACCCGCGCGGGACCCCCTCTTCCCTGGCGCGCGGAGCGCGCGCGCCAGGGGCGGCGCCGGGGGCGCCGCCAGAGCGGTCCAGCGCCGATCCGAGAAACCCGCGCGGACCTCTGAATATGTTTTGCTTATGCCACTGCTCTTTCCCCAAAAGGTCGAGACCCCTTCCACGGGACCAGTCTTTCATCCCGAGTCGCTTTGTCACGCTCCCGGGGCCTGGCAAGGGCCCCTGGAGGCCCAGAATAGCGAGAAGCCTCGCGCCGTCGCGACGTTTTTGCACAACGGGTCAGGGTTTCTCGGCTGAGCTGCCCCGGGCTTCTGGACGCGGGCAGCCCCTGGGGCGCGGGGATGCGTGCCTGCCCTGCCTGCCCTGCCTCCACCCGGCCAGGGGCGGGCGCACGAGGAGGGCTGCGGCTGTGGAGGGCTGCCCGGCCGCTCTCCCTCTGCAGGGGGGAGGCTCCCTGCAGAGGCGGCCCCTTCGGTTAGGTCGGGTGTGTCCTCCTCCTCCTCCTCCTCCTCCTCCTCCTCCTCCTCCTCCTCCTCCTCCTCCTTCTCCTCCTCCTCCTCCTCCTCTTTCTCCTCCTCATCCTCCTCCAGTGCTAGAGGCGGAGTTGGGAGGAGAACCATGAAAAGTGGATGCTTTACAAAAGCATGGTCCTAAAAATAAGAGCAGCATCGTTCCCAGACTGTGTTTGGACTCTGTGTTTGCACTGGTTCCCCCTGCAGGGGGGGGGGCGTGCCCGACTGAAATCTGGAAGGCGCCCCGATCCGAACGGCGGTGCAGGCCACTTCGGCCAGTGGCCCGCGTGGCACGCGCGCGGATCCGAGGGGCACAGCAGGCCCCATGGATGAGGGGCCCGGGCGAGGCCCCATCACCACCAGTCTTTGGAGGAGGAGGAGGAGGAGGCGGAGGAGGAGCAGGGGGAGGAGGAGCCATGCACTTCTTCCGCGTCCGCGTTCCGCCTCTGCCCCGCCCCTGCTGGTCCTTTCCCTCCGCCCATCATGGGCAACAGCAGCACCACCACCATCATCAGCATCA